CTACAAATTTCAATTTATATTCATATTATCCCTACCATTACATTAATACAACCTCAAATTAATACAGTCTTCCTTAGGGAAGTCACATTTTTAGAATTACTTCAAATTTAGTGGCAAGTTTCCACAGACATAAAAACTCTGGAAGTTCACATCTCTCAGTGAAAGAATTTCCATCTCTTTGGAAATTCACATCTCTCAAATATACTTTTACAGTATACTTGATTCTTACCTTGATGTGTTTAGCAAAAGTTCAGTCTCTCTTGCTACAACTTTTATTATGAATGTGATGAAAGGTACTTGAAAAAAAGGTTAAACCACTTTGTCTAAAGTGCTGCTGAGGCAGCACCAATTCATTTCATCTTACTTTTTGAGTTCCTTTAAACCTCCCTGTGGGGACTGCCTTTAGAAAATGTGTTCAGAATCCATACTAATTACATCTTGTCTACTCTATTATAGCATTCCAATATAAGACTTCAGAGGTAATAGATATGAGGTAACACCTGCAAACTCAAAAGTACTCTTATTAAAACAATTCATTTCAAAAAAGCTCCTGAATAAAGAACAAATTGTAAGGACTACTGATCCATGCTGGAATGGTTTAACCTGGGAGGTTAAAACCTTCACCTTCTTATTTGCTTACTGGGACCTTAATTTCAGAGAGCCTATTAAATTAGGCATGCATCCTGCTTTCTTGCTTGCTAAAATAATCTCTGTTTCTCAAGAAAAGGAAAAGAGAGCAAGAAGGTACTAGAGAAGGAACAGGTAGCCCTTTTCCTATGCATCTTGAAATCTTTTTACTGAGGTGTTTTGCAGAATGTGTCGGGTAATTTAAATGCATTGGCATTCCCTTGAGTTCAAGCATCACACAAAAATCTGGGCAATGTCTACACACAACTTACATCTCATTACAGTCATATTCAGTGTATGCCAGGTGTTCAAAAAGAAATTTTTGCCAGTAAGGCTGTTTCTTTTGGCTATCAAGAACACTAATGAAGCTCTTAATTACAGTCCCTTTATCTCAACTTCAAAGCATTCATTTTTGTTCTTTCACCTTTTACTGCTTTCCTCTTAACCTTTTCCCATTTACAAACTGCAGTAATGAGAACATTGTAAGCATGATTTTAACTCTTCTGATGCCTTGTTACTCTTAAAGGAAAAATTTAATCAGGAAATATAATTGTAATCAAGTTCTTAATAATTTTACACATATAAAACAGGCTACACTGCCATAAAAATACACATTAAAAAAAGTTTAAAAAGCATCCTAGGCATAATTTCACTGATTCACAGAGATGCAGTTGAGAACCCTTCTCATGATTCTTCAGTATTACGTACTGTACAGTGACATCCTGAAATGATGAGGAGCAGTGGTGCTTAGATCTGACAAATTTCCCTCTCTGAGCCTTCAACACGTGACTGTATTCCACTACGGATCATTTCAGCAGCTCAGATCTCATGCACTCAGGCTGGCTTGCACCGTGCTGTCCCTTGCCCTTGCTCTCCCCATGTGCCAGAGAACACCACAGGGAAGAGCAGTGAGGACCAGGGACCGTGAATGAAACCTGTGACACTGCCCTGCTGTCACATGTGTCATCCAGTGGGACCACACTCCCAGGAGCACCACCAGAGCACATCCTTCCCACACGTGGACTCACAAAACTGTACCCACTCTAGAAGAATTTCCTGCCCATCAGTCACACAGCCGTGTCAGGGGCACTGGGTGGGACAACAGCCACGCTGTGCACCAGAAAAAAGGGTGCTTGAGAGACATGTACACACTAATTAAGCTTGTGACCTCAGGCACAGACTGACAACCTAGTGCATTGTGCCCTGCACAAACACACTTTGTCAAACTTGCAATATAGCAATAGCAAATAGCAATATCAAATAGCAATATCTGAGGTGCACACATCTCCAATACAGCATAACAATTTTCTTCCTAATCTTCATCTATCTTCTGTTTCACAGTACATCATGAACAGGTATAATGGCACAACTGGGGGGTAGGTGAATTGCATCAAGACAAAAAGATGAAGAAGCTGAAGGGAGAAATCTCTTAAGAGAGTTAAGGAAGTACAAATGTAGCTACCTGAACTACTTGGACAAAAAAATGCCCCATTTCAGTGTTCTGAATTCCTATAAACTTATGTAAGCTTAGAAAAGAAATAAAAGAAAATCCTTTTGTTGCTCGTAGTTTCACTGCTTTTTAGTAATATTTTTTGTGATTAATCAAAATTATCTGGAGAATAAATCATCTTTTTAACCTTCCTTTTGATGGTTCCATACACAAATAGAACAAAATGCAAAGCTGTGAGAACATCTTTTAGAGCAACATAAAAAATTCTTCCCTTCCAGACAAACCTACCAAAGCAAACCTGCTGTTTAGATATTGGCTAGCATAAACCAGGTTTGCCATTCTCAACAACTTTACAGAATCTAACATATGACACATTCTAACTTCTGAATAAAGATCTGATTTCCCATAGAGGGAAAATTCTATTGTTGGACACCTAAAAGCTCTGGGAAATATTTACTTGCACTTTCCATCTTTCATAGTTGCTTAGAGATAAATTTACTTTGCATACTTAGCAACTCTAAAGAGTCTCTAAGTGATACTTCCTTAGTAAATGAGCTACATACCAAATCAAAAAAGTCAGGCAAGAGAATGTAGCACTGAATTTTGTGAAAATTCTCATGCACCCCAAATTATGTAAGTTGCACTTTTCTAATACCATTTCCATATCTCTATAGACCTAAAACAAAGTGGAGACCCCTTGTGTGACATCACCTGGCTTCAGCATCCTGTCCTGCAGCAGACAAGAACAGCCTGTGTGCGGCAAGAACAGGCTTCCCTGTGTGCCTGGGAGCCTCAAACCCACATAAATGGATTTTGATGTGACCCACAAGAGTGACCTGCAGTATTTCATCGGCACTAATAAAGAAGGAGGGGAAAAGACATCAAATTTATGAGCTGGACTAGATCTTCAGTTTGCTTTCTCTATAGGTTGATGGTGGAAATGGCAAAGTTAAAAGGGTACCTCACAGATATATTACTTTCTACCCTACTAATACACCTATTTGCCCACTGGGTCAAAGAAGATGTCTTTGTATTCCAAAAGCATTTTGGTGAGGATAGAGCTTGGAAATAAATGTGACTTAGCCATTGTAAAGAGCTCTATATTAACTGATTTGCAGCATATGCACAGTAAGGAAATAAACTCTCTTTTATCACTAATCCTTGGTTTCTTGAGGGCTCCACGTAAGAGCTGGACTCAGCAGGCCTGTTTTCAGGTGGAATATATAACTATCTAGCAAGGTTTCAGAGAAAGGGGCAGAGTGAATTCAGTTAGACAAAACTCCCCTGGTTTTTCCTTTCTGAAGAATGAGAACAAACACCCACACACGAACTCCAATGCAAAGCACTAATATAATAAATCTCTAAAAGGTCACACTTGGGAATAAACAGGGAATTAATATTTGAAACCCATGCTTCAATCTGCCATACTGAGTCTTGTTTGGTAACTAATACATGAAAGTTAACAAGACAAGAAAGCACAATAATAGCAATAAGGCAATGCATTTGGCTTCCTTCCAGACTGTTCTGCCTTCTCTTCAGCGCAGCCCAATTTATTTAGTCCAGGAGGAAAAAAAATGCATAAGTATCAGACCTGATCTCAAATAATAAGCCCTGCTAGGAGGTGAAGCATATCACTCTGCACAGAGCTGCACCAGCACAGATCAAAGCTGGCTTGATTAAGCCTGCCTGGAGAGAAAAGGAGCTGCAGCCTGCTGAGACACTGAGCCATGCCCCGAGCACGGGGACCCCAAGAGTGCCACCAGCCCTCAGCCACCAGCAGCCACCTGCTGCTCCAGGCAGGGCCTGCCTTGGGAAGCCTCCTGGAGCAAGGGCAGGTCTGAACTGCTGAAGCCAGCTGTTTCTTGGAGCTTTGGCATTAACTATAACTTTCACGACTGAGGTTAAGGACAGCTCTGCAGAAAGCCTGACACAGATGTTATTAATTCTCCTGTCTTCAGGAGCTTCCCAAGAGATTGCCAACAAACCAAACCAAAAATCCAAACATAAGCTGAAATGGCCAGAAACATACAGGGAAATATTACTTTATTGCTTAAATGAGCTAAAATGCAGTAGCAATCTTATTTTTAAACAGACTGGCTACAGTTTCTTGCTTGACTGGTGCTAAGGAAAAATATTTCACTATGTGGCCAAAAGAAAAATCCTGTTCAGCACAGTTAAATATTTACTGTTTTTATTTGCATATTGCAGACAAAATCTTAAGCCATAGCAGATTTTGCAAAGATCTCAAATGCTGGCTCCTTTTGTATCTCGCCATGTGTAAAATATATTTTGCTATACTACTCTCTGTCAACACCAACCACGTGTAAGAACATTTTAATGTGATTCTACTCATTGTGGGCTACATGCCACATAGGGATCAATCCTGCAATTATTTCCAGTCTAAAAACTTTTAGTGTATACATAGAAAAAACCCCAAATTTAGTCAAGATTTTCTACTAAATAATTCAGATTTCTACCACAACATTCCAGTTATCCTTGCAGCCATTTTTGAAATGCAAAAGAAAGGAGAAAAACAGATTCATTTCCAAAACTGTAAGGAAAACTTCTTTATGTGGAAGAAATATGACAAGAAAATTTAGGAATAACCTAATTGTACATAATTTCTTCAGCATCAGTGTGTTTACTCAGGTTTTTAACTAGCAAGGAAGGCTGAGAAGGCAAACACAATATAATATCTGAGCCAGCTTACCCAGCTTCTGTTGTGTAAACTGCCAGAACTGTCAGTGTATCTCCCAGGCAGCTGGCAACAAGGTGACTTGCAAGTCCACAAAATTGGGAGGTCAAACTGAGTTCCCTAAATATCAGAAATTTCTCACTTGCTTTAAGCCCCATTGCCATACCTTTTCTTTGGGGTTTTTCACTTGGGTTGGGTCACAGGTCTTAGAAGCCCTAGATGACTAACCTCCTCTAGTTGGCAGGCTTTGATGACACTCCTGTACCGGTATTCATCATAGGATACACCAAAAATTATGTTCTCCTTTATTGTTCCAGGCATGATCCAGGAGACTTGAGGTGAAAAGGATATCCTTCCACTGTGTTTAATCTTACCCTGTGAAGGCTCCAATTCTCCCATTATCAACATCAGAAGAGAAGTCTGAAAAAACATGAGTACTTGATTAATACATCAGAGATCTGTCCAACAAAAAGAGATGTTGCACATAGTGAGAGTCACTCTGCTAAGTCACTTAAATGGCATTTGTCTCATCAAGAGTGTCCCTGTAAGTGACATTTAGGGCAAACTGCAATTAGTGGAGATTTTCTTGATATGTCTGATTCTGAAAGACCTCTAATATAAGAGAAACTTAATTTTTAAAATTATAAAAATTGTGGAAGATATCCTGTAAAAAAGGCATGCTGCTGCAAAAGTATGTCATTTTAATGAAGCTATCAATAATCTCATAAGGTAAAAATCTATCTGTGAAACATATGCAGACATAAGGTACTGGTATTTATAGAGAATTCTATTTGATTTTCACACTATCAGTGACTATTTTGTTTGCTCTTTGTAAAACATAATTAATGTTTATAATTTTGCTAGTGCTTATATGTATTTTATCTGTACTGCCTTGAAAATGCAATTTCTCTGTGTAAGTATATACAATTGCTCAGTATGGTCTGAATTTTCCTCTGTAACTGTTAACTCATTTACGTGAATGCATGACCTAAGTATATTTACTATTTCCCTTCATAAAAGAATTGATTGCAATTTCAGTACTGACATGTTATAATTCCAAAGTTAATCAGTAGCTTGTAGTAACCTTGTCACACATCATTGGCTACTAGATCAAAGAATAGAATTGAGAAATACACGGAAAAATTTGTTACAGAGCCATTGCAGTGGTGTTCTTACCACTGATAAACAGTCAGCAAAGTTGGGACGTAACAGCCAAAGATCTAAAAAATCTGTCTGAGTCACAGATTCATGCTGTCAAGCCCAGAGATCCTTTCGTAAGTTATACAATATAGTGGGGCAGTCTCATGAGATTCCCTCGTACCAGAATGTGACTTTTCCAAAATGCTGAGTAAGAAGTTCCCAACCTTGCAAAGGACAGCTGTTTGGTATGTTTTGTACACTGGATGATAAACCACTGCCTCTTGTGCCATATAACACAAACTAAAAAACAAAACAAAACTGAAACAAGCTCTATCTAATACTGAAGCAATATTAAACAGCTGATGTCAGGCTTCATATCTGTTACAGATTAAATAGTTAATATAGATAAAATTGTGCAGTCTGTTTCATGGGCCTGACAATTGAGTTACAGCCTCAAGCACCATGAAGGAATACTCACATTAAGAATGTGTAAAGGAAGGGCAGCATTCTTTGGGGGGTGATGGGTGGGAGGTGAACCTTATTTTTTGACTTTTATAGTATTAACTTTTTGAGTTAATATTATAAGGCTTTTGTTTTTATTGCTTTAGAAAGTGCAAATTTTTTGTGAGCATGTACTCACATAGACTGTTCAGTGTAATCTGAATTTTCCTCAATTTCCTATGTAGCAGATGAAAGGAGATATAGATACATCCTTCAACATTTTCTAGTTCACATTTCTACATTACAATTGCCAGTGTTAGCAATAACAATAAACTATTCTGCTAATTCAAAATATCACACTAAAATGCACCTTAACACATCATCTTGTGGACATTCTCATGCTCTGAGTCCCTTGCTCTCTCTTGTGGGGATCATTAATGAAAAATAAGAAGCCTTGATCATACTGAAATTGATGGGTCCTTTGTCATTGACTCCAACAGACCAAAGATTTTACCCCATGCAAGTAAAAGAAATTGTCACCTATAATTTATTAAACAGGAGAAGCATAATGAACATTTGTTTTAACTTTCACATTTCCTCAAAAAACACAGTGAAGATGAAAGACTCATCAAGACTTATCTAATTACTAGCTGTTCAAAGAGAATAAGAGTATCACAGTTCAACTCATTTTATATTAAAGATGTTAATTGGATGTGTCATCTGCAAACTAAATGCATTGATAACATTTTGGGGTAGTAAAATGATGAATAATCTAAACCACAATTTTTCACAGGATACCAGCAGTTTCAGCAGCATCTCCCCAGGCTTTCACGTGGGTCTCAGGAAGCCCAAGTGAGGCACTATAGGGACCAGAGCTGAGTCATCAGGGACACCACAATTCCAGGGCACACACACCTGGCTGTATTCCTGTCAGCATTGTCAGGTTACAAACCATCTTGAGTTCAGTTTTTTCCTTAAAATGTTAAAAAGGCAGGGGAAAAAATCCTTTCTAGCACACTGAGCCATCAGTATATCTATTCTATATTCTTCATTTTTTTAAAGGCCAGGAGATTCTCACCATGAGCCTTGACTTTAGGTTTCAGTTTGCATTACTCCTGTAAAATTTCCTTTTACTTCCAATGGGGAAAACATTTTTTCATTAAATTGCTATTTACTTATAATTCTGTAACCTTCTATTACAGAAAATATTAGCAAACTCTATCTCAGAGTGGCCACAGTATAAAACTTCTAGCAACTATTTCAGTGAAACTTGCAGATTATCCATACTTTTTCCTGCAGCCATCATTTCTGCAGCAAGCACAGGGTAGCAAGAATACAGTAAAAATAGAGGTAACAATACAGGTAACAACACAGTATTATCCCTTACAGTTATTAGGACTCTAATTGAACCAGCAGAAACAGAAATACCTTGCCTGCTCCAGTAGATCCAGAAACAGCCAATAGCTGCCCCTTCTCAATCTTGAAATTTATGTCCTGAAGAACAGGAGAGGCATGAAGGGGAAAATTATTGAAGAAGAGATTTCTGTCAGTGCTAGGAGCTTTGCTATTGTTGTTTTCCTGGTTTGCTTTTACAAATAGCTCTCCAATCCCCTGCAATGATATATATTTGACATACATAAAAAATAAATAAAGCATGCATATACAGAGTATACATGTACAGATACACATCATGTATATCATACTATGAACTTACTTTTCTCATGTTACTTTTCCTATCAATAAAATACTGATTATATTATTGAATATATATTTTTTAATGTATATATTGGATTTATGCCAAAATTTGTGCACACAAACAAAATTTGCTTATTATAGAACTGTTTTCCAATGTTTATACATGACATAGCCTGATCCTGTTTTCAGGCTGGCCGAAGTCAGTAATAACTACTTATTTCAGGCCTTAACACTTATTAAAAGGTTTCTTCCCAAGTTTCTCAATGTGTATAATTTAATATCATGCATTACTTACTTGCTAAGTATTCCTTACCTGCTGAAAGCTGAAGCTAGTTAAAAAGAAAGAGTGTAGGCTGCTCTTTTTAGAGAGTGTCATAGCAAATATTAAAAAATATATATATACACTCTGTGTTTTAATATAGTTTGGGTAAAAGTACCAACCTCATCCCAAAAAGCTGTTACTTTGTCCAGCTCAACCCCAGTGGTTGTTAGATTATACTCCAGAGCTTTATATTCTTTTTTCAGCAAGAAATCCTAGAAACACCATGAAAGCAGATGAAACAGTAAGGGACAAGGTCATATTGCACAAAGCAGTCTATATTTGCCTACACAGAGCACTAATATTTCTGGTGACACTTTTACATCACAGTGCTTTCAGCAAGAGGCATAAATATAAATTATACAACATTTTTGGATGCAGAAGGAAATGTTTTTGAAACTACCAATTCTTTCATTGCTAGTGAAAACATAGCCATAAAGGTACTTAGTTCTGATTTAGAAAGAATATCGAAACTTGGCACTTGTTTCACTTTCAGGACTTGTATCTGGCAAGATCATCCCTCTGAGTTTAACCCTTTGAAAATGAAGCTTTGGGTTTGGAGTAAGATGTAGAAGGTTGCACTCTGGTAAATAGTGAAACAAAGCAGCTACATGCTGGTATCTCCCTTTTCCAAAACTGCAAGAGTTTAAAAGAGTTGGAATGATCTTTCCACCAACAAAAAATAAAAGGCAGATAATGATCCTGGCAAGTGCAGCATTGATGCAGTGTAATTTCAAATGACACAAGTTAGCAACCCAGTGCTCATGTTGCCTTTTGGGATAGCATTAGGAAATAAAAGTAAGGCTGTGATAATGTAGGAAAGGCAGCCTCTCTATTCCATTATTTTATTAAGGTTATATAGTCTGTAGATATTGTCTCCTCCAAATTCTACTTTTTTAAAAATTATATGGAAGCAAATAGATCTACATGGGCAATACAATGGAAAACCTAAGCAGACTCATGGAGAAATCAGTTCCCAGCAGTACACCTGCAAATTTCCCAAGCAGAACAAGAAGGGGGGCTCTGTTGGCATAACAATTAGGCAGCTGATTGAAAGGGCCGGAACTGAAAAAGCTGGAAGGTATGACACACATGATTTATGACAAAAAAAAAAGCTGTGCTTTCATAACAAAGGGGTCATCCAGTGGAGCTCCTGTAGCAGTCATAGTCAGAGATAGCACACTGATTCTGAAATGTCATGGTCTAAAAAACATGTGAAAATACAATAACCAAGGATGTACCTGGCCCAGTCAACTCTCTAAACTGATGTGGAAATTAAATCAGAGAGGTGTGTGAGTGGCTAATTATTCTTATTTATGTTTCTCAAGACTAGTAAAGGGCTTTGGTGTTCTGGGACTCTGTCCTGTCTGTCTATGGGGACTATACTGAACCTGCCACAAAGAGATGATTATTTATAGGTTCTGGAGCACCCATTTGCTAATATCTCCAAAGACAAGCAAGCATTCAGTGAAGTGAGGGCAATGATGTGACAACTGGGCTTGCCAGTCCTGTGACTGTGTCCAGGGCACTGGACACACTCTTCCAGGAAACAGGAGAGACAGGATACTTCCACTAATGCCTAGGGAATTTGAGAGCACAAGGAAAGCCTATAATGGAACCTAGCAAAGCAGCCTTCTGAATGTCAAATGGAAAGGTTTGTAGCTAGATTTCTTGAATTTTCTGCCCAGTTGAAAATCACAAAAATCCTACACCTACTTCTTATTCTAGACTGAGGTTCAGACATCTGATTAAGAACTTTAGGTTCTGTATTAGTTATTTTTATCCCACTAAAAATGATAAAATCTATGTTCTATAAAAAACCCCACATCTATAAATATGCAATGAAAAAGGTCTAAGATTTCACCCCAAATAGTGTAAGAATTCTCTTCCTAGAGAGTAATTTCAGAACAGCAGGTAAAAAATATAGAGTTAATGAGAATCCACCCTGATTTTACTCTGCAGATAAGCCTCTCATGCTGGTATATGAGCAATTAATTTCAGTAGGTAAGGTGGATAATAATTATTTGACTGGTACCTTAATTATGTTTGCTACTCGTAACGAATGAGATGTACATTTGCATAAAATGCACAGTTTCCTGCTGCTGTTGTCACAAATGTCCAGAAAAAGAAGATCTGTGACTGCAGCTCCTGGAAGCCATGCTATATAAAACATGTACTAATTTTGAACTTCCTTTTCTGAAGGAAAAACACCTCTTAAGCACCACAAGTCATGATTTTATGAAGTTTCTTGTTCTGCAATGAGAATAACTAACTAAATGTCATGGTTTCCAAAAAAAAAAAGGCAGCAAGCTGGTAGCATGAGACTTGTGTGGTTATGCTGCCTGGGGAACAATATCAAGATTTATAATGACACTTCATGGTGTTTAGTCAAAGCAACATATATTCAAAAAGTCTGCATAGAGGCTGTGTGCTTTTGCTGATCAGCTGACAAGATAACACGATATGAAGAATTAGCTTACGTACTTGGGAAGGTTTTAGTCTATGCACTGTACCTGTATTTTGTTTATTGCTCCAATAGAGTCATACCAGGTCTGCACAGAGCCGGGAAACTGCCTGGTCACTGTCATTCGAAGAACAATGCAGAAGGAAATGGTGGTAAATATTTTTCGGAGAGTAATTCCTTTAATCACAGCATACGGAAGCACAGCCAAGAACACCACAAAAAAGCCTGAGAAGAAGAAGGCTGAGCTGTTGAAATATCTCACATAAGCAGCTTTTCGGGTAAGCTTCAATTCAGTTCTGTTTAAAAAAAAAAAAATAAAAAGTACAAATAATTAGTGTAGGATTTCACAGTTTACAACTTACAAATATTTTGGATGGAAGTGTTGGCATAACAATTAACTCAGAGGTTCAATCATCCTTCTTCTTTTCTAGAATTGCAACTAAAAAGTAAGACTCCAAACTATTTCTGGGCCTAAAATATCATTAGAGTCAAATTTTGACATCAATGTTCAGAGATGTCAGACAAAGTAACAATAATCTGTCACAATTTACATACTGAATAAACCACAAGCCTCTACAATTCCTGGCACAACCAACCTCAAGCATCTAGCACTGTGGTATGTGATGTACTCCCAGAAGCATCATCCCCTACTCATTTAGATGCATAACTCCTATAGAAAAAAGATACTTTGAAATGCCAGATTTACTATATGTTACCATAAAAAACCTTACAATAGACAATCTGATTATAAGGTCATCTTCTTTTGCATGGCAAGCTACTAATGGCTGTGAATTAGGATACCACTTAACCTCATTTTGAAGGGGTGGAAGGCAGGGACTCTGCTCTCCACCCTCCTTTCTCCGTGTAAGCTCACTCTACAGAGAGGCTTACTGACTCCTGCGCAGTCAGGAATGCAATCAGTGATTACTTCAAGCTGTTTCCACAAGGTCCATACATCTTATAGCAAGCTATTAAATAAGAAGATAAATAATCCAGGGGATATAAGTAATTTTCTGAGTTGATAGCTCTAACTCACAGTGCTGCAGATTTCTGTTGACTGCTCTCATTTTGATCCTGTTCAGTTCACATCCCCCAGGTGCCCTGCCGCTCAGTTTTACTTGGACAGAAGCACCTCTGCTGCAGTGACAGAGCAGTTGCTCTCCTGCTAGAGCAATTAACTGGGGCTAGAAATGGTACAAGCCCCAAGATGCCCATTCACTGGGTAAGTGCTGACCACTGGAGTACAGTGCAGAATTTTGCAGTCACGTTGCTGATGGCAATATCTGGTGTTGCAAGGCTGAGCACCACAACCTTTATGTGCCTTCTCATATCGACCCAGTGTCTGTATTTCTTGTTAAGTCTGTATTTCACAAGAGAAGCATGAATAAAGTAGCCAGATGTGCAAGTCACCACCATGATAGAGTTACTGCCTGGGAGAAAGGGCCTTGTAAATCCCTCCAGAGCTTGCATGAAACTGCCAGTGGCAGCACAAAATAAGGATAAAAAATATTTTGGGACTTGGTGCTCATCCATTCACACATAAATGTCTGGCTAGAAGCTATCAAAAAACCCCTCAGTTCTGAAGAACACAGCCCTACTCCAAAGAGGGAGAATGAAAGCACTAGCATCTTTTTCAGTATCTCAAGCACCAGCTACAGATTGATGCAGCCACAAGTAAAAGTTTCCCAGAGGTGGTCCTGTCTGTAATACAGACTTGAAAGCTCTGTAGACAGCACACTTACTTGGGACAGGTCTTGCTGATGCAACATGGGTCTTTGAAAAGAGATGTAAGCGACCCTACGAGCCTTGTGCATATACAGAGTGTAGACCAGTGTAGGCCTGGTTTTGGAGTGGTGCTACAGGAACCAGTACTAATACATAAACTTGAGATCCTTTGCTTGATATAAAGATGTGTCTCTGCTGGCAAAGTGCAGACACTTCCAACCTTCAGCTTCTCCTGGGCTATGCTATGGTTCACAGGAACAGTTTGGAGGGGTGGTTTTTTTGCTTCTCTGAATACATTGCACAGCCCATAAGAGTGCAGGTATGTTTATTCAGGCACCTGTTATGAACAATTATTTTCAGTGCAGACTTAAGAGGGCACAGAGCACACAGTCTGATTTTGGTGTCTCTGAAGCAGATTAAACTGGCTTGTATCAGAAAATGTCAGCATGCCAAAATGGTTTTGTGATGACTGAGTTGTAACACACTGGCTAAAACACAGACATGGCTTCAAACACAAGGTCTTGTTTCCTAGCAGCTAAACAAGCCAAAAGACTGGGAAGTCCTGCAGAGCTGCTTCCACAAGCCAAATTCAATTGAAACTCTGATATTCCTGGGTTGACTTGCTCTGGTGATGTCTTCACTGAGTGACCTGCTGGATGACTTAAAAAAATTATGGAAGAATCATAGAATTATAAGATGGTTTGGGTTGGAAGGGACCTTAAAGATCATCCAGTTCCAACCCTCCAGCCATAACCAGGGATACTTTCCACTAGAACGGGCTGCTCCAAGCCACATCCAGCCTGACCTTGAACTCTGCCAGGGATGGGGCATCCACAGCTTTACTGGAAACCTCTGCCAGTGCCTCAACACCCTCACAGGGAAGAATTGCTTCCTAATATCTAATCTAAATCCACCCTACTTCAGTTCAAAGCCATTCCCCTTTGTCCTATCACTATGTACCCTTGCAAAACATCCCTCTACTAATTGCTTGTAGACTACCTTCAGGTACTGAAAGGCCATAATAAGGTTTATCCAGTGCCTTCTCTTCTCCAGGCTGAATAACCCCAATTATCTCAGCCTCCCTTCATAGAAGAAGTACTCTGATCTTGCAATATTGCTTGCATTCTTGTCTTTTAAAAATCCATGTTTCATACAGTAACTCCAGCATTACAAAATTTACTGTAAATCATTATAGAAAATATAGCTAATAAAATAACAGTCCAATTTCCAGGTTTCTGTGTCCAGTTTGTGAACTACAATTTATTTAATTAATTTCTAGAGGATTTGCCAGCATGATGTGCTCTCAAATTTCCTAAAAGCAATACATGTGACTAAGTGACATCAGGGGAATAATAAACTAGTTCTATCCTTGAGCTAGCACTCATGACCTGGATTCAGACTGAGTTTCTCTGATTGTTTATAGTAAATAATTACAAATTTTAATGGTAAAGAACACTTCACTTTCCCTGGATTGTCTTTCAGAAAGCAGCTGAACAAGAAGGTGTTTGTGGGACAATATAATTTTATGTCTGTTATTTACATGATAATATGACACTTATATTTCTTTTATTTTCCCAATCACACACCTGGCACAGAATTTTATTTCTCTGTAAAAGACTAAACAAACACAGAGGACACATGGGAGAGTTTTCATGCAGCGTCACCCATCAATAAATGTGTCACTTCTCCTCCCTCTCTCCTGAACTCCTTGCCCATAACAAAGACTTTCTTCTCACAGGTCTCAGCTAACTTTTACCTCCTTTCTCCTTCAGGTCTGGTAGTTACAGTTCAATCCTTATATTAATTGAGAAGATAAGCTTTCTACAAGGCCATCTACAGACAATAAATGTTAATGTAAATGTGCAGGATAAGTACATGGATCTAATTTACTCCTTCCACAGATTGTATGCAAATTTTATAGCCAGCTTTATTGCATTTCTCAGAAAATGGCTGCACAGGATTTGCATTGTTTCCTCCACCACAGAATAGGAACGTCTGTTAAGCCTTAAGTAACCGGCACAAAAGGGCTTTTTATTTTAAGATGAGGACAGGGCTGGCCAGAAACAAACACAGATCCCACAATTGTTTTACCTGCGCAAACTAACCACTGAAACATCGTTAATACAAATGAGGAAGTAAATAAAAAAAATTTTTTTAAAAATCTCACCTCCATAGTAAACTTAAAAAAAAAAAATTGGGAAAAACCCCAAGCTGCAGTGTGGGAATGCATGGTTAGTTTATTGAGGATTAATAGTTGTTGCTTTACTTCTTAACTAACATGACCACAGATGATGTTCATAGACACCTAATTATTTTTTTTCTGAGCACATAAAAAATTTGTGTAATAAATGAGTACACTTACTCACGGATGTTTTCAATCATTTTTTCCATTGCATCTTCCCAACAATAGGCTTTAACTGACTGTATATTTTCAATTATTTCTGAAGTGATGACAAGTCTCTCATTGATCTTTCCTGCTCTCTTATTCCTACATAGTAAAAAGACAGTAGGTTAATCTTCATCTTTTTCATCCTGTATAGGTAGCTTGTATCCCATTATATCATATGAAAACAGCTTCTATATATGCCTTTGCTTAAAATGTTTACTTTAACAGAATTATTACAGAGAATATAGAAGAAATTATTAGAAATCCAATAATTGTTTTAAAAGGAGAAAATACAAACTCTAAAAAGAATGGATCAAGTAACGAACAAGAAGTTTTCATTCTAAAAATTCTAGATTTAATGCTAAATCTAATTTTAACACTATTTACTCCATGCTAGATTTTAAATTGTTTAAAGTTTAGACACCTGCTCCTACAGAAATTTTGTCTGTAACTTTCCCTACACAGAAAACACTCTTTGAACTCATCCTACGTAATGTCCTAACCAGAGCCCCTTAATCAAGTGGTATAAACTTCTTAAAACCAATGTGTTTCAGGAAAATATATTGAAATATTTTAAAACATTCTTGTCACCTGTATTTCATCATCATTTGTCCCAGCCAGGCTTGGAATAAGACCATGACTATTAGAAAAGCAAGTCCAGAAAATGCAGAAGCTTCTAACATATCCCAGAGCAATCCCATCAGCAGTGCCACTTGTAATGGTGCAATCCATACAAAATGAGCCAGAGCAAGACCCTATGGAAGGCCACAGTAGAATAAAAATAATGAAAATTAGCGGTGTGCTCTGAAAACTGCATGAAAAGGAAGTAGTCAATAAAGTGACACTTTGAAAAATACAGTGAAGAGTGGTACAAATATTTCCAGTAGAAAAACAAGTTTATAAAGGAGGACTGGTGATCATGAGTACATAGCATTCTGGGTGTTAATTATGATGACAGTGCAGCAATACATATACATTTCATGCCTAAACTTTGATTTTTCTAAGGCAAAGTTCAATCTGCAGCTCTCTCTTTGTTATGTATATGCATGAGGAAAAGTCACAGCTTTGTAAAAGTAAATGGAATTTGGCATCAATGGTGGCTTTTTCAACCACTGGGAGATGAAAAAAATACTTGTAAGAATCTTCTGAGGGTTTCAATCTGATATAGAAGGCAAGTATTACTTTGGTGAAGAGATGAGTGTTGTATGAACACAACTAGTTCAATGCAGTTCCCGTTCAGGAGATTTTGGAGTGAACCCTGTGATCAGGGGCACAGGGTCTGTGTTACTGCAGCTGCACTGCTGCAATGACAGACCACTTGTCCTAACTTGTGCAGCACCAGCTGACTCTACTCTGTTCAGTCATGCAGTGCTTCATAAATGCACCCTGCAGCTCCAGCCATGTGTCTACAGTCTCTCTGATCTTGTGTCTTTCAAGGGAGGCAAATCATATCCTACCAAAGGGCCAGTTAAGCACATTTGAAGAACAGAAGTTCATGGAGTTTCCAGTTTCTAAAGGCATTAGCAGGGATTTGCTGTAGTCTCTAACAAAAAGAAGTTTTACAGGAGTCTCTCTAAGGCAGATGTCTGACTTCCTAACAGTCTTGCATGAAAAATCCCTTTTTAGTGGACTGGGTAATAATAGGAGCAGGAGGTTAAACCTCATTGCTTGTTCAATGACAGAAATGGACTGAGTCACCTTAGTAAAAAGATACAGTCATCAGGAAGTAGGATGTAAGGGTTGAACCAGCAACTTCTGTGAAACTGTTTAACAACAGTTAGTCTCACTGGACTGAAGAACAAACACATTTTTATAAGGTAACTGCTTTTTAGGTTTCCTCTTCTAATCAGCATAGGAGATAAAGTATGAGAATGAGCGTTTCTATGACTATGTGCTAACATATTTCCTTAAGGTAATGAATGACTATTTTGTCTACAATGAGCACTCAGGGCAGTTCTCCATTTCTGCTCCTTCCTTCCTCAATATCTGTCATGAACAGCTTGACATTGGTATTTGATGGATCATCAAGTGAATTAAACAACCGATGACGCACCTCATCAAACTTGTTCAGGTTGTTGGAAAGAAGACTGACCAATTGTCCAGTACTTATTTTATCTAGAACTCTGCTTGACAGTTTTAGGATCTGTAAAAGAAAACAAAACCATAGAAAATTGTCATCTAAGTTATTTCCATAAAACACAATAAATAAAGATAAAAATAATAAGCAATTATGCAGCAGTGTAAGTAATAATCCACTTATTTGTTTGTGCTATAAGGAAAGTCTCATTAAACTTGTTATTTATGTCACTTAAATTCAATATAACCATTAAATTGCTTTAAAAATATTGATGTATTGACCTAGTCCTTCTTTTCTGTTGAATATTTTATGGATATAGATATATATGCAAATGCAAGTTTTAATTAAGCACACATGCTGTGTGCTGCTGTGCATCCTTAAAAATCTCCTACTGTTGCCTCTCTTGAAAAATATTTTTGAAAGATGCTTTCACAGTGAGCTTTATACTAGAATAGCTAACATGTTTGTTTAAGTTACCTTCTTTGGGCATTTCTTAAAAAAAGAAACTTTAAATCTTTGTATTTTTGAGCATGTGATGGGTCAGTATCTGTTGACTTTTCATGCTATAATGATGTTACACAGTATCATTCAAACTTAATCCCTTCAATGACACATTTTTTGTTTAAGTTTTCACCTTTAATTCTCTTTTGAAGATATTCTTTGGCCACCAGCATGTTGTTCTTCCTCTGCAGTACACATTTTTAACAGGAGCACAGTGGTAAAACAATTAAAGCCTCTCACCACATATGCAGCACGTCTGAACTCACAGAGGCTGATTTCAGTCCAACCAGCTGTAGACAGGTATTTAATTCTTTGGACTGGGAAATTGAGAGCTGTCAGTAACTGTTAGCCACATTATTCTTCCGTGTACTTTGTGTACCTTAACAAAACTATCAATCTTTCAACCAACTAGTCTAAAAGTTACATAGAATACAGACAGAGGCTTGGTTTTGGGTGCACATGAAACAATTACCTTCTTATAAATCAAGCTAAACATAGCTATCCTCATTTGCATTCCAATGTGATGAAGACCAAATATAGCAGGGTGGATGAGCAGTGTTCTCACAACAAAGAGGAGGCACAGGCCAATGCCCAGGTAGTAGGCTATGGATCTTTCATCAGAGTTGTCTGGGTCATAGGAAGCTATTATTCTCCCCAGCAGAAGGGGCTGCACAGCTTTGGTGACTTCCTGTAGAGAGAAAAAAGAAAAGTAATTTTGGTCAGCAGTTGGTTCATTTTTTCCAAAATGGTTAACATTTCAATTCAAAGTCCCACCAAACAAGATTTGAAGTCTTATGTCTTAAATGAGGAAGTGAGGCCTGTTTGCTCTGCAAACCACAGAAAGTTGCAGTAGTTGCACAGGAGAACAGACAACTCACTGCTAAGTCTGTGATGCTTCTGCAACTGCACCAAAGCAAATCTGGCTTGTAAATTTTGTTTAATCATTTTCTACAAAAGTGACAACTGAGATTAGCTTCCACATTTACTTTACAGAGCTGTAATGGATTAGCCATATCATATGACTGAATCTAGTTTATCAGGCTGGAGCTCTGTTTTGGCCCTAGGGAGCAGTTCTCACTGCACTTTACTGGACTTACAGGACAAGGGAAGCCTCAGAACTACCAAAATGAACCCTACCATTCTCACGAGACAGTCAGAATATAGCTAAAACCAAAAAATAAATAGCTAAAACCAAAAATAAATGGAAATTGGGACAGAATAAAAGTATAAATAATTGGATCATCTACTCAGCAGTTCTAGACACTGTATCCAGTTTTGTAACAAAAGCAGGAGGAGAGGAAGTAAATGGTAGGGGAAGAAAGTTTAATAAAGGTCCCAGAGAGAAAGCATTGGAGGCCCCAGCACTTCCCATCCAGGGATGAGCAACAGGATAGAGGACCAGGGTAGGAGAGGAGAAAGAGGTAAGGTCAAACCACTAAACTGCAGGGTATCCAAATGACTTGCTAAAGCCTGACTTTACTTTAGTCTGCTATTACATTTGTCCTCAGACTCCTTTTCCATTGTAATAAATCCCATCAGTGTTACCTCACCTTTGCCTTCCATTTCCCTCCCTGCCTCATCATTCTCATACTTTCACTCCTCTAACCTCATTTTTTCCATCTCTACCTCTTGCCTTTCCTTACCCAGTCTTTCTCCAAGTACTGCAAAAATCACCTGTGTGCTTTGGTTAACCTTTTTCTTCATCTACTGCATGAGCTTCAGAGGGACATGAAGAAGTATGTGCCCCTTTGCTTCACTGTTATGCTCAGTTTAAAAATACATAGTGCTATGAACTTGCATGCATCTCCTTATTCTTCTTTCTGTAGTGTTGCAGCAGACAGCACCTGATACTTCCAAAGTAACAAGAAATTACTAAATTCTTCTGTACAGAGCTGTGTTAAATTCTGCCCAAAAGTTACCAGTACTGCCTTCCAGATGAAAACCACACAGACCACCATAGAGATTCAGAAGGGAACTGGTGAAGGTCAGCTGTAATTGAAGTTCTACTGTGATAAATATATTGGGAAAAACCCCTTTAGTTTTTTTTTTTTCCTTCTCCTTTGGGTTCTCTTATACAAAAGCAATCACAGGTACTTCTATAACCTGGACTGTAATCCCTTTTGAATGTTACTATTGGTGGAGCTGATTTCATCACTCACTTTTTCCACAGAAGAGGTAGAATTTTGCATCTTTAACAGCATACCTGTACCATGTGCTACATTACCCAAATTACCCACCCTGTTGTGTATCTCTGGAGCCAGCTTTGACAAAGACTTCAGTGTTATTAGTGGGCAGAGGGAGGAGTGTTTATTAAAAAACACATGACCCAAGACAGCTGTGCTTAGACCATATGCATCCCAAAGCATCGAACCAAGACTCCCCAAAACTCATAAAATACAAAACAGTCACCTCTCAAGGACAATATAGTGTTTTCATATTCTTGGAGATTCCAAGATAAGCTTTTCTAGATCAGCTTAAAATATCAACATTTTTTTGTGTGTTTACTTTTATTCCAGTGAAAATTACATGTTCTGCTGCTGTGTTTGTTGTGACTATAAATGTATTGCACACATTCCAAGCTTGCTGGGAAAAAAGAAGATTTACAGACTAGAATAGTGGCTGGCAACAAGCCAAGTCATACACTATTTCATGGGGCATAAAAGTCCACTGGTTTACAATAGAGATTTATCAGCTTGCTTACCAATTATCTAGTCTACATACAAATCAAAGCACAACTGCCTGGTTTTCATTTCTCCTTTTGTAAATTCAAAATTACCCACTGATATAAATATGAAACTGATTAAAACAACCTGCCTAAAAAAAAAGAATGGAATTTGTACACCTAAGAGAAAATTCCATTTTCAAGATTCATATTTTGCCTTTGCCTGTCCTTATTCTCCTCTCTGCATTCATCATAGGCCACTGAGAAACCTGTAAGTGTCCCCCTCACAATAATCTTAACTAAAAGAGTAAAGATTATGAAGAGAAATGAGATTATGACACAGCATATTGTGCTAATCTGACCTGGTATGATTATTCTTATGCAACAGCAACTTTTATGTTAGGTGTATCCCCCATATGCTGAAACACTCTGCATTTGAATACAATAATGCCCATCTCTTCTTTGGCACATGGCCAAGAAGCACTTCCCTCCCTGCCTCCTCACTCACACCCGTGACCCATATGCAAGAACTTCAGGAAATCCTCATTAGGGTCCCTTGGGATATGATACTAAAACCACTTCTAAGTTAATGTTAGCAGCTGTTGTGCCTGAGTGGAAATATAAATTTCATGGCAATATATATAAGACCAAAATACAAACAGAATCAAATTGATCCTCACAGCAAAGTACCTAGTTGGCTAATTGGTATCAAGCTAAAAAGCAAGATTTTTGTTTCACCACCATAACACCTTTTCTTTATATTGTAAGACTCATATTCTGACAGGATGAAGGATGAAAACCATCTCAAACAGCAGGAGAGCAGATACATTAAGTGCAGTAACCCAACATGCCTAACATAACACTATTTATGAGGGGGAGATGTAGTACTCTAGGGGGCCAGAGCACAAGTGTCCACCCTGCAATAACATCATTACCTACAGTGCATCAGGGACAAGGGAGATCTGGAAAAAAGGCTAGACTTAATGAGAGCAAAGCTGTGATGCCAGCTGAAAGGACAACTCCACAAACAGCAGGGATGTCAGCACACTTTAAACCTCAGTCCAAGAAAGATGCCATGAAAGTGGCTCAGAGATTAGACAAGCAAAGAGCTGAAAGGAAAATGAAGTTCAAAAGAACACACAACTTGGTTTCACCTATGCCAGTACGGCACAACATCCTGTCCCCTTTCAAATTTATGGCAAAGCTCCCATTAATTTCCTTGAGCAAGGCCTGCAAAGAACACCAGCAGCTTTAGGAGCAATTTGGTTTTTTTAGAATTCCTCTTTCAATAAAATGAAATTGCTTTAAATAAAATGAACACTAATGGTAATGCAATCAAGAATTTAAACTAAGATTTAATCTTTCCATGTTCATTGCGGAAGGTGCAGGTTCATTTATGACATGTTTAATTGCACATATCTGTGATTTCTTAAAGAAATTTAAAAAAAAATCACACAACCAAAGAATATGATTTAAAAATCCTGCAGTCTTGTTCTGTCCTCACCCCATCTAAAACTGTACTCCATTAAAAAAGTGCACAAGGAGAAATCAACCCTGCGCATGCATGCCCACACACATTGCCTAAACTTTGGGAAAGAGTGTTATCCTCAAGAGTGCCTGCAAAAGCAGCGTCTGAGGCACTGCTTAAGCTTATCCTTAAACAGTGCCTTGGACACTGCTTAACTTTAGCAGGAATGCATTAGTGCAAAGGTTCTGGCTGGCAGACTCTGCAGGAAGAGCTGTCACAGTGCGTGGTAGCTGCATTTGTAGAACCATTTTGTTGGGGTTTTTTAAAAGCAAACCTATCATGAATAAGGAGTTGCTGGCTTGGTGAGTAAAAGAAAATCTAAAGGCAGCAGTGAGATCACAGGAACACATAACAGACATTATTGAGTAGGGATCTGCAAATACAAGGTGTCATCCCAAAGAAGAACTGACAGAAGTGACAAAGGAGTAGAGAGAGAACAGTTACCATGCAGCTCCTTACATAGCAAGAGGCCCTGTCCCAGACAGTTAACTGCCTTACCTGGACAAAGACAACTTAGGGCTCAGTACCCAAACGGTACCTCCTGACACTATGCTATGCCCTGCATCCAGCAAAGAATGGAAACTCTCCTTAGCCCTCCTTTTGCTGCCAATTTATAGAAACCACTTGTTTTTTTTGTTGGTTTTTTTGGTTTTTCTTTCTTTTTGTGAACTACAGTGCTCAAATTTGTTAAAATTTGGCTTTAGCCTGTCCAATTTTCTCCCTACATAACCTCCTTTTAGTCACAGATTGCTTGCCCCTCCTTACAGAGGTGATGCACTCTCTTTTTTACTACTAAGTCACAGAAATTTGTCCGCAATACATATTTAACGTGCATATTGCTTAACAGCAATTTTCAGATTTACAGTCTGTCTACACATACCTAGTGAAATACCATTAGCAATAAATTATTTTCACAGTTCTTAACCCCAGTGATAGGATTGTCAAACAAACAAGTGGCATTTGGTAAGTCAAGGTAATCCTACCTAACATGTTGGAAAGGTGATAAACGTAATCAGTTCAGGCTTTCACATCAAGCTCCTGATCACACACTTAGGAGCACTAACAGCACTAGAAACACTAGAGAAATTTTAAAACTATTATGTATCTTTTAATTATATTAAGATATTATCAGAAAATTCCTTTTTTAATGAAAATACATCTCTGTATTTATCACCTTTGTAAGCAATTCACAGAGGAAAAATATGTAGCTATTCACAATACTCTCTATTAATTTAGCAGTCCCTAAAACTTGGATCTATGTAAGGAACACTAAAAGCTTACTGAAGAGGAGAACAATTCTTACCGCTAAATATAAAATTATTCCATAGAACATAAATTTCCAGAAAAAGCATCGTCGCAGAGCATTGATGAGTTTGGGTTTCTTCTCTGAAGTTGCTAGCTCTCTGTCCCATTCTCTGAAAAGAAACCAAAACCAGAACTATTAAGTGGCATGAGCAAATACCTGAGTCTATGGCTGTGACATACTTCAATTCATTCAAATATATCCAAGGAGATTTAGCTAAGGTGGCTAAGGAAAGAAAGCTTTGCAGAAACCCCAAGAATCTGGCCTTCATGGACTTGATAAATCAATAGAAGTTCAAACCCAGTTCAGCCACATATTTGGTAGTTTTAAATACTCGGTCATACATCACCCTGCAGGGTATTACTTCATGAAAAGGTCGCATTGTATGTTTTAAAGAAACCTGCTGTACTTAAAACCAGAGTACAATAATAGGCAAATAAACGTTTTGGAGCTCTTCCAATCTGCAAAAACACACCAACAAAGCATCAAAAATGTGACTTTTCTATTGCACAGCACTATTTTAAACCTTGTTGCTGGGACAATAGCTTTCTTTTCAATAATAAATTGTAGACCAGAAGCAATGCTGTATGCAGAGAATGTGTGTTTTGTCAAAATTCAATTCACAGATTAGAACACTCCAGAGAATATCCTCAACTAATTATTTTATCAAATTTTAAACAGAATATTTGATAAACAGAATATTTCATTTATAAACTATCAGAACACATTTAGCATACCAACGTTCTCTATAAATTCCACTGGTTGATATTGGTCATGGAGAGACAGGGACAACTGAACTGGATCAGAAGCTGATTTTTATTGAGAATACAAAGCGTTTATAAATGGTTTTATAGTAGGGTACTTGTATAGGATTCTATTTTTGGTAACAATTTCCCATTGGTTACATATTCTTCAGGACATCAGTTACCTGATAATCATGACAAAGTTTCATAACATGTCTCTTGGTCACTTCTACCCCAGGGAGCAGTTATCTCTGTCAGTCTCTCCCATGGTTTCTGCTCGATCAGGCCTAAGATATCAGGCTGCTTTATCAGTTCCATTTCACCCTCTGTCTTATCCCCCATAGTTTGGAATACTTATGCCACACTGCAATTAAAATTGATTGGATTGGCACAACAGTGCAGATGTAAGCTGAACATCAGTGAAAGCTACAATGTCAGTTGGACAAGAAGGAATGGGTTTAAGCACCTCTGTTGTAAGAGTTAGTCACAAGCGAAGCACAATTTCTAAATCAGGACCCACTGAAATTGGGTAAAGAAGAGTGGAAACCTAAATTAGGTAAGTCAGAGTATGATTTCTGCAGAAACAATTAGTCTGTCAAGAGTGGTATCAAAGGAAATTAAGAATGTTATTTCACTGAAGAAAAAATAAACCAACGTTTTAAAAGGTTATGTTGGGAAGAAAGAACAGTATTTATGCTGTCTCCCTTTTCAGTGAACCAACATTGATACTCTGAGTCTAGCCTTGCTGAAATTGTGCAGGATCTGTTGCTCCAGCTGGATCCCTACAAATCTATGGTGCCTAATGGGATTCATTCAAGAATCCTCAAAGACCTGGCTGATGTCAGCAAAATCTCTCTCAATTTTTTAGCAGTCTTGGGAATCTGGAGCAGTCCTAGCTGACCAGAAAACACTGGCCCTGTTTTCAAGAAGGGCAAGAAGGAGGACCCCAGAAAATACAGGCCTGTCAGTCTCACTTCAGTGCCCAACAAAGTTATGGAGAAGATTATTCTGGGAAGTATTGAAAAACACCTGAAAGACTGGTTACAGCCAGCATAGCTTAAGGAGTGGAAACCTGATTTCCTTTCATGACAAGGTAACCCCACCCAGCTGACCAAGGGAAGCCAATTGATGTAATCCCTTTGGATTTCAGCACAGATTTGATACTGTCTGTCACAGGATCCTTCTGTACAAAATGTCCCGCACTCAGCTGGACAAACACTTTATGTGATGAGTGAGCAACTGGCTCATGAGTCAGGCACAAAGGGTTACAGTGAATGGGGTGACCTCAGACTGGTGACCTGTCACTAGTGGGGTTCATCAGGGCTCCATCCTTGGCCCTGTGCCCTTCAACATCCTCATACATGACTTGGACATTGTATAGGAGGGGGTATTGAGCAAGCTCACAGACAATACAAAACTGGGAGGAGCTGTTGACTCCTTCAAGGGCAGGGAGGCCCTGCAGAGAGGCCCTGACAACACAGAGAGCAGGGCAATCACCAACCAAATGAAGTTCAACATTGGAAAGTGGCAGATTCTGCACCTGGGATGGGGCAGCTCTGGACGTATGGACAGATTGGAGAATGAGATACTGGAAAACAACACCACAGAAAGGGGCCTGGGGGTCCTGGTCAATGGCAAGTTTAACTGAGTCAGCAGTGCCCTGGCCTATCCAGCCAGGAGGGCCAACTCTGTCCTGGGGTGCATCAGGCACAGCATCATCAACTGGGCAAAGGAGGGGATTGTCCTGCTCTGCTCTGCACTCCTGCAGCCTCACTTGGAATATTGTGGGCAGTTTGGGGTGCTACAATATAAGTAAGATATAAAGGAGGACAATGAAGATGGTGAAGGGCCTTGAGGGGAAGCCATGTGAGGAGAGGCTGAGGTCCCTTGGTCTGTTCAGCCTGGAGAAGAGGAGACTGAGGGGAGACCTCATTGCAGTTACAGCTTCCTCATGAGGGGAAGAGGAGGGGCAGGCACTGATCTCTATTCTGTGGTGTCAGTGACAGGACCTGAGGGAATGGCCTGAAGTTCTGTCAGGGGAGATTTAGGTTGGATATTAGGAAAAGGTTCTTCACCCAGAAGATGGTTGGTCAATGGAACAGGCTCCCCAGGGAAGTGATCACAGCACAAGATTCTAACTCAGCATATTCTGTGATTCTGTGGTCATTGGCAGATATCACAGGTACCTGTACATAGTAATTTAGGCCATCTATGTTGTACATCTGGACCAGAGATCACAGTCATGTCCAAAGTACAACTGTGTGCAATCAGCTTGTACCCGACACTATTTAAACATTTCATCCAAAAGCTTTGTAATGAAAATTGCATTGTTATTCCTGAAACAAATTTATTTAATTAACCTTTCTTACCTTTCCAGTTTTTCAGAAAGATTATCAGCAGAGTCTGAAGAAGGGATTTGATAAATATCTGAGAGCTCCAACCGTCGTCTGTAACCCTTTTTCAAAATTGGGTTTGTCCATCTAAGCAAATATTGAAAAAAAAAAAAGAAGAATTAAAAATACTCTAGCATTAATTCTGGAGTTGCTTTGTCTCACCCTGAATATTTTCTCCACAGCATCCAAATATGTTTAAGTGCACATGCATTCACATACACACACATATAAGACACAATGTAGTGCAGCCCTGCCTTATATTTGCAAAACTATATTGATAAATATAAGATTAAAAGAATAATTTTGAAACACCTGCATTTTGTAAGTTTTGGGGTCAGATCATGCTCCAGACTTCCTACTGAGTCAGCAGGAGACAAATGAACCGAAGATTGAAACCTCTGTACTGTATTTCCAAATATGCTATGTGCTATGTCCATATAGATGAATAATAAATCAGAATTATAGTAAAGTGGACATGTAAGTTTCATTGCTATCTGCTCTGCTCTGGGGAGACCCCTCCTGGAGTACTCAGCCCAAGAAGGGCAGGAACCTGCTGGAACCAGTCCAGAGGAGGCCACGAAGAAGATTAGAAGGATGGAGCACCTCTCCCTATGAAGAAAGGTTTGGAGAACTGAAATTGGTCAACCTGGAGAAGAGATGGCTCCAGTGAAGTCTTAGAGCAGCCTTCCAGTACCTAAAGTGGGCCTCCAGGAGAGCTGGAGAGGAACTTTTTACAAGGCCATGTAATGACAGAACAAGGGGGAATGGCTTTAAACTGAAAGAGAGCAAGTTTAGATGAGATATTAGGAAGAAATTTCTTACTGGGAGGGTAGCCAGAGACTGGAACAGGTTGCCTAGAGAAGCTGGGAATGCCCCATCCCTGGCAGTGATCAAAGCCAGGCTGGATGAGGCTTGGAGAAACCTGGTCTATTGGGAAATGTCCCTGCCCATGGTAGGGGGCTTGGAATCTGGCAATCTTTAAGGTCCCTTCCAACACAAGCCATTCCTTGATTCTATGACATCTTACACTGCAATGTGCACTGCAATACAAATCTTGCACAGAACTCCTCTTAAGGTCTTCATTGTGTCCATTATATACACATATTTTGCATTTGTTTTTTCAAATGTCCTGTTTAAAATTTTAATACCAATTTATGGGGCACGCTGAGACAAAACAAAGCCGGAAAAGGCTACTCCAAATGGCTACTCTGTAGAGAAAACCTTTATAAGTAATGACTAATTTTATCAAACAATTCCACTCCAAAAAGGCCTATGAATCCCTGAGGACTAACTTATGCAAAATTTTTTACCAGATTCTGTTCGGAAATCTTTTTGAAAGCAAAGGACTAGATTAAAACATAAAAACTGTTTTGAACTAATGGTGTATACTAATACTAATGGTGTATTTTGAAATTACTTGAATTTCTGCTTTACTGTCATCAATAAAAAATATTTCCTTTAAAAAATGAAGTGCTTGCAAATTAAGTAGCTTGTGGTTGATTGCTATCATACTTCCATATGTAAACCAGTGTTTGTAAAAAACCCAGCATGGTTCATGATTATGATAAAATTCAGCAAATCCTCAATCATTTCAAAATTTTTGTTTTAAACTGGTTTTGCATACAACAGCTAAAAAACCACAAAATATTTGCAATAACATTTTCCACAGTCACTCAGAAAATGCAAACAGCCTATTGGACATGCTGACCTGTATGCCTGTAAGAACATATGTCATATACACAAAGTAATTTACATCCTCAATTGCAGCCTCTGAAGGTGCAAAGTTGATACAAAGGTAAAAGAACATCATTTGAACACTACAAAAGTGCAAAAGGGCTTTAACACAATGGATGAAAATCATTTGTGTGCAACTGTGTGTACATACATGCACACTGATATTTACTTTAGTGAAGTTATGAATTGCATGAGAAACCAGTCTATAATCCCCATAATTCAGTAAAGTACCAAGGTATTTCCCAAGTGCATGGTTATATCACACCCACTGCAAAGAGAACGTGCTCCAAGAAATTGAAGGAGTATCCTTCATTTCTTCAATTATAGTATGATTTCAGATTAATCATATGACTTCTAGCTCAGTCTTTCACACCACTGTGGCTGATAAATAACAAGTGATTGATGGTACATTATAGGAAGGGAGTTAGGAGAGTCCACTTTGGAGAGGCATTGGACTCTTACCATTTGGAGATGATAAAACATCCATAAACTCTACAACTACTGGAAACCGGAGCCAATATTTTTCAGAGATAAAATGGATGAGAAGAAAACCTTTGAGTTTCATGAAACACTTACATGAAAGTCTTTCATGATTACTGCAAGTGGTATATAAGGTATTGATTTTTATTTTACCAGCTCCTGAAGACAGAAAGGACAAGTTGCTATTAGCTTTGTGCACATCTTGTGGAGAGCTGGCTAATCCTTGTCATTCAGGAGCAGAAACTCTCATTAACTTCTGTTCTCAGCTTCTCTGATGTCCCATGTACGTAGATATTTCAGTAATGACAGAATGAATACAAGTTATGGGACACAAACCCACTACTGCAGCTAATGCAAGGAAGTAACAGTACTTCCTAGGCAACTTCTTTAATTCACAACACTGTAGCTAAGTAATAACCTTCCTAAGCCCCTTAATAATGCTTTGAGACTGCAATAAACAATTCCCAACCTGACAAAAGATAAGTGCTTTACAGTTTCACTTTGTATGTTTTGAGAAAACATTTTTTATTGCACTGTTTCCCTCCACATATTTGATTTTATTTATAGTTTTGATTAGCACCTACCCTGGCATTTTGCCACAGCCTGAACTAACAAACTGTGACTGCAGTTAGAAAGAGAGCTGAGTGGCTGTATTGTCATTTGGGGAAGGCAGCACGCTTAGCAGATCTGCTGTATCTCTAGAAATGTCTCTTGTTTTACTCTGTGCTTAACTCTGTGTTAACCAGATGCATTTATCACTGCCATCAAAATTATATGGCCCCTAAAGTACCCTTCCTTTCCAAACTCAGAGTTTGATACAGCTTTATGCAGTCCTCATCTTCATCTCACTGCTCATCACAGTAGCTGCAACTGTGCTAGATAAATTCCTCCAGCCAGCTAAAGGAGCAGTGCTGACTCCTGCCCTGGGGACCTCCTACTCTGCAGCCAGGTTACCTCTGCAAGCTGCTGCCAGGGCTTGCACAGAGAGGTTCATCTCCCAGCTGCCCTGGCCTTGCTTGGAAGTCCCACCCTAACTAGATCTGGCCAAATTGTGTGCTGTGCCAAGTGGCTTCAGGTTGGAGTGGTAATCATGGGAGGAGCTGGCCTGAGTGTGATGTTTGTTTCAAGGCGGATTTTCGACAGCTCTCTGAGTTGTGCAGTCTAGAACTGTGGGAGACAGTTTGTGTTTTATTGAAAGGAGTATACAAGACCTAAAATAGACAAATATCTCATGAAAATCAATTTTTTGCCAGATTCCTATAGCCATTATGTTCTAGATTCTTTGCAAAGATTTGAAATGCAAAATGACTATGAATTTCTTTAACTGGCAATATAATCTGTAGTTATCCATGTTTCCATAACACTAGGTGACATAGCTCAGAGTTTGTCAATGAATATGGCTCTTCTATTTTTTTGGCTTATTGGAAACTATTTGTCAGCGTTAATGCTGAGGTTTTTCCTGAGGTTGTTGAGAAATTTATTCTGAAAGGAAGAGAGCAAGAAGGAAGGGAAACAGATTGGCTTTACAGCATTATGTTAGCAAATGCCATCGGATTACTTGCTGGCATTTAATGAACCCTTTCACAGAGAAACCTGTAGGGCTGGGGGAGCTTTGCCACTAACTAGGAATGTTATTATGGGTACACACGTATGAAACCCAGCAGGGAACAAGTTTCAAGGATGTAAAGTAGGAAAGAAGAAAAGAAGGCAAGTTCCACTTCTATTATCTACTGCCTGTAGTAAAACATACATGATCAAATTGATATGTAAATATCATGTATATAACATACTGTTTGGTAGATTTCTAATGGCCATTTCTCTGTCATTTACTTAAGCAATATGCAACAGATTTCTTATTACACCTATTGCTTTCTGTTGCATGTTCAGACTCATCCCACTCAAATTGTATCAATAGGACAGATGTCTTTGGCCTTCCAGAGAGTATTAACACAGACAATTTGTCAATAGGATTTGACTCTCTCTTAAGGCTGCTTTACATGTCACTGAAGACAGGAGCATCTGTGTTGCTAAGCCAAGTGCCCAGATCTTCTTCCTGAGCACAGGAATACCCTAGCTCCATCGGGCTCTTCACACCAAGAAGCACAGTTTGCTGAGACACTAGCAGAACAGTGGTCTTGGTGCTGGGCTACCCAAGAGCAGCAAAAGAGAGCAGCTTTCCTACAAGGGTCACTGATCAGACTGGTGCCACTTCAACAGGTGCTCTGTGCGCAACACAGCAACATCTACTGAGCAGCACAGAGGTCACCAGGGCTTCACTCCCCTCTACAGAGCATTAATACCATGCAAAATATAGTTAAGCATAGTGACTGCAACTTCTAGGGAACTGCACCTAAAATTCCATGGACAGAGCAAGAAGAATGCCTCTGGTTTTAACTTATCCTTCTTCCTAACAATTAAGGGTGAGGTGAGGAGAGGCCAGAGAAGAAGGCACATCATCAAGCTGTAATTATGATGCTTTAGAGCCCAAGTTTTATGAGATATTTGTAGACCCGTGAATTCTTACCAACTGCAAGAAAAGGCTGAGGTACCATGTAGATCTCAGACATTCCCAAAGAGTCCCTCTGACCAGATAATGTCAGAGGCTCTGCACTCCCATCCTCCCACAAAAGATACCCATCACTCCAGCAGCAGCAAATTGTAAGTTGTTGCTTATTTTATACTGGAAGTGGCTCTACTACACCCAGTACTGCTTCTCCAGTAGTGTCTGCACCTCCAGCTGTCCTCTCTGAGCATCCTATAGTGCAGCTGTAAAAGGTGACCCCAGCTTTTTGTGATCCTTGCTAACAGATGGGACAAGCCAGCATGCCCATGGAGCACAGCAGCCTTATTCCTGCCCCTTGGTTACCCTCAAC